GGTGGCGGGTCATCGAGCCGCAGAACCGCAGGATGGCTCAGGATGGAAAAGACCTCTGAGATCATCGAGCCCAGCCGTTACCTCAGCACTGCCAAGCCCACCACTAACCCATGGCCCTCAGCACCACATCTCCCCGGCTTTTAAATCCCTCCAGGGATGGGGACTCAGCCCCTGCCCTGGGCAGCCTGGGCCAGGGCCTGACCACTCTCTCCATGAAGAAGTTTTTCCTAATATCCAACCTAACCCTGCCCTGGCGCAGCTTGAGGCCGTTCCCTCTCATCCCATCGCTTGTTCCTGGGGAGAAGAGACCGACCCCCCCCGGCTCCAGCCTCCTGTCAGGCAGTTGCAGAGAGCGATGAGGGCTCCCCTCAGCCTCCTCCAGACTAAAGGTCGGGCAGCAAAACCCAAGGTGTTTTTTTGGAAAACATTGCGCAGACCCGGCTGAGCGCGGGGCCACGTAATCGTCCTGGGGACCTCTCGAGATGGGGCCTGCCCCCGTGGAAGAGGAATAGCTGTCACTGGCACGACAGCCGCGTCCAGCACACGTCACACGGACTGGTGCCCTGCGGAGGCGTCAGCCTGTGTGTCCCAAGCTGTGGCGGGTTGTGGGACTTCAACTGCGTGAGCCACCCGGCTCCCCGAGCCACTTTAAACCCATGGGAACCTTAAGGGAGAAGTGCTATAAGAAGGGGCATAGATGAAGTGACGGGCAGAAAACATACCTGAATTCCCCGTTACCAATATTAAACGTGCCCGTTTTACCCTGCTCAGTCCTGCACTGCTGCCTGTGCACGTGCGCAAGCCAAAATCCCCCAGCCTGTAACGGGTTTCATGCAGAAGCAAAAGGAAAGGTCTAGGAAAGGCCTGGGCAAGGCAGCTGCAGAAACCAGATTCAGAGGAGTTAAAAGAACAAAAGCACGTCCATAAGTTTGGGAGATGAGTTGCATCTCCAGCTCTTTTCAAAGTAGGACATTTTTTAAAGATTTAAGAAGATCACCGGAGCCTTGAGTACCCCCAGGTTATGGAAAGCAGAGTGTGTTTAGCGAACCTGGCAGATAAGGCTGAATCCCAGCCAAAGGAAGATAAAGGCAGGGGAGAGGACAGGTCGGTTCAGGCTGCTGAAGTGAAGTTAGCTGGGCTGGAGAGGACTTCCAAGGTGGAAGGCAGCGTCCCCAGACTGCGGTAGGACCGATAGGATGGGAACTGAATGGAGGTGACAGGCAGCAGCTCCCACGGGGAACCCCCCGGCCGAGCTCCAGAAGGGTGAGGAATCCAGTCTCTAAGTGTAAATACCTAAAGAAAGCGGGACAGAAAGTGTTGAGGCGGGTGTCCCGCTGGCAGACAGAGCAGGCACGGAGCCAAGAGTGGCTTTCACCGCCACTAACGCTGCCCGTGCCCATGAGCGGGGTGCCCTTGATCCCAGTCACAGCAGCTGCTGGTATCTGAACAGAGCAGGTTTGATAACAGTAATACCAGGCAGTTAGGTCTGTTATCAGTCTTATACTTTGCTTTAAATATTTTGAGTCTTGGAGGAATTATGCTGGTCTGTGAAAAAAATGTCCCGAGTCCAGCTGGATATGCTGAATTGGTCAAGGTTAGCGCTCAGCTTCTGGTCTGAGTGTTGTGTACTATGGAAATTAAGCCCTCAGAGAGGTTAATTTGGGAGGATTCCAGGGAGGGAAAGCAGCTGAGCTAATAAAAAACCCTCTGATGGTCAATGTAGTGGCACAGGTGTGGATGGGTCAAAAATACAGATTAATAAACACTAAGGTTCAGTCAGGTTATCTGAAGTTAACTGATCAAGGTGAAGGAGACCATCTTCTTCTACACAAGACTAACTCTTCTGCTCTGATCACTCCCCATGTCCTCACATCCAAGCTATGAATCGCACCTTGCTGGATCTTTTCGCACAACGTATCAAGAGATGATAGCCTTTCCCATCTGGCCACCCAGCTAAACCCTTCCAGTGACTTATATTTTTGCTTCTTCTTCTCTGTTCTTTACAAAGAGGACCCACAACAATGCCCTGCAGCCAACGGCTGGACCCTGCCCACTAGTAAAAAACAGAGCAAAGTGAGAAACTGCCAAAGAGCTCGTGTGGGACAGAGGTACCAAAGAGAGGGCTTACACAAGAAGAGCTGCATTGTCAATGATCCTGCGATGCACTCCAACCAGTACAGCAACCAAACCTAACATTTCATGTTGTTGCTACAGGATCAACAGGCTTCAACCGGTCTGTTGGCCATTTCAGCTGTCTTCTAGTTTTGATCTGGTAAAGTAAAATATCTTCAAATATGTTCAAGTCTTCACTTGTTAAATTGCTTTCACATGCAGTCTGAAAAAAAAAAGATCAGCCCATGAGGACTTTTGTTCTTCAGTCTTTTTGCCCTTTGTGTCACTCTTCTCTGCCAACTCCTAGTTTTTCTTTTGCTTTAAAAGACTGAGCAGAAGCTTCCAAATTCTTTATAAAATGTTTCTTTTTGTTTAGCTCATTGCAAAGAAGTGACATTTCTGTAGGTTTTGTGCTTTGTTATGACCTTGCCAAATTCTAAAGCATCTGTGTCTGAGCCATGATGAAGTTTTGTATTTTTATAATTTTGTGCTTGTTTTGATTTCCCTACTCTCTACCAAAGTCTAAGAGTAATTTTTCATCCTTTAGTTCTGTCATACTGGATAATATGCATACCCCTGTAAGTCTGCCAGTGATTTTCCGCACTGAAGTGGTGTTGCTCTGTAGCTGAAGAACATTAAATATAGAACTGTATTGAATTAGTTGGGTTTGTGAGCCTGTGCTGCACTATATAGATCCTGCATCTATTAGTGTTTTCTCAGAGGTGCCCAGAACATTCTCAGAAGTGTCTTGCGCTGAAATCTCAAGGTTTTCACAAGAACCAGGAATTTCTGTACTCGCTGCCTTGTCTTTGATCGATTACTAATGGAACTGGGAGCTTGAGGTGCAGAAGTGCTTGATCATCAGCGCTAAAGTCACTGGATCTCCACAAGCCAACATTTCTGGGAAGTTATTAGGGCAGTTCACATTTTTCAAAGGTAGACAAAGTCAGTCCTGTGGAAGTACAGATCCATATCCACCTATTATTTCTTTCTTCTTGAAATGACCGCGGTGATCCCTTCTAGCATCACAATCTGGGCAGACGGTCCGCAATCGTTATTTGCAAAGCCTCTTCTTCAGTGTTCTCCCAAACACTTTCCAGTCTTTCCTCTGGCCCCCAGGTCCCACGGAAAGTCTGACACAGCTCCAAACAGCAATCGCGTACTCTCCGACCCGATGGCGACTTGGGGTCCTGTGAGCACATTCTTTGTGAAATCGAGTCTCTAGTGGCTCCTGTGACTCTGTCTTCGTGTTTCTCCTCCTCTCTCTCCAATCATTACTTCTTTGGAAGAGACTCTTCACCCACAGCCAAGCTTTGCCACAAGACTTTGGGCTTTGGCCCATTTCCCTGCTCTCTCCCTACCTCCTCCCTGTGTTGCTGAATGTATATAAATACACATTTTACTATTATTTCTATGTGGGCAACTCACAAATCAGCCTCTCCAATTCAGATCCCAAACAACCCTTACCCTTCGGTCTTTATGAGGAAGACTAGCCTTGCTCATCCTCAGCGTGGCTATAGCAGGATGATTAATACTGCCCTAATCTCATTCTCCTGCTTCCTTTCCTGATGGAGGTGGAGAACACAATCTTCTCCTAATTCAGACCCATAACCCATGCATGGTCTTTTCCTCTGAATTCTCCCTACATCCTCACATCCAAGTTCGGAATCGCACCTTGTTGAGGTTTTTTTGCGTAACATATCAAAGATATGGGCTTTCCCATCCATCACCTCAGCCAACCTGTTCCACCTAGGCACTGTCTGTCTTCCTTGTCTCTGGTTCTCACAAAGGCAGTCTTGCACCTTTCGGGCCCATTCAAAGTGCTTCTGGAAAGATAATTTTTTGTGTCCGATTGCCCTTGCTGTGTCACTTCAAGCTTTGCATCCTCCCAATCCTTCCTGACGTGCCTCCCCCCTCTCCTAGCATTGCTGATTCATCGCTAAGACACCAGCTCCTCCTACACCCAGTTGGCCTCTCATATCAGCCTCCGGCACCTATTTATTGACGTTTCAAGTACTTCCATGCTTTCTTCTAGTGCTTCCCTAAGGCATGAAAGGACTTGCACATCAAAAAGGAATTTAG